TAAAAAAATGACAAATTTTCTTAAAAATAACATCTAAAGATTTAGACTATGAGTACATTTTTTTAGTTTTCTTAATAAATATTTAATTACAAATCAAGTATCACTTGATATTTATAATGTTAATAAGAATACAGCCATGCTATTTAATCATGTGTTAGTACACTCTTATTCTTTATTAAAATATTGAACTAATGAAAAAGAGCACAAAATAGACTTAAATTGATATCAATATATACCAACTACACCTTGATGACTGATTAACTCATCCTTCATTTTGCTAGAGCAACTGCGTTCCATATATGATGAAGATGCAATACAATTCTAGGATAAGATCATCCTTTGATCAACTTATTGATGGTTTGAAAATTAGGGTCCATTTGCAACCCAATAAACAAAACAAAAGTGAAATAAGGAATTGCGCTTAAAACTTGTGAGTATTTATTCTTTAAATGCAGTTATTCAATGAAAATCTAAGCGTTGCTTGTCATTTGTGGCTGGTATTCCTTTTATGGAACACCAGCTTGTTAAACTAGATAGGGAAGATTAGTAAGAAATCCTTGCACTTATCTTAAATCAAATTGGCTTGGAGCGCGGCTGTGTATCATGTATGGACAGAGAGGAACAAAAGGATTCATCAATAGATATACCGAGGCAGCAATGGTTAATGGAGTCTAGTGAGATGATAGGAACAGAATTTTGGGATTTGCTAGGCCAAAATCCTCCCCTTTTTCCTTTTTTACAGCTTTAAATTGGGGATTGAAAATTGAAAAATGATTGGTACATACTCCATTTAAACTTTTTGACATTTGTTCTAATTTAATTATTAAAATATAATATAAGTTCAATAAATTCAATTAGTTCTTGCATTCGATATATATGATTGTATCCTTAAATTTGTTTACTTTTAATTTTATATCAAAAAATAATATTTTTTAAATAAATATATTATACAAAATGTTAAATTAAAATATATAGTAATTAGTGTCCTTGAAAATTTTGTTTAATGATGAACTTTTATAAAATGTACAAAGTGTACTCATTCTTTATAGTAGCTTTATTAGCTGCCAAACTTGCATATTGATGATTGCTAGATAAATAAAACAATTTACATTTTATAAAACAAAAAAAAATGGAAATATGGAATTACTAAAAGTAATGAAAGAGCTGAGATTTAAAAAACCAAACAAAGACTAGTAAAATAGCAAGGGTAGACAAAGGTTACATATATATATATATATATATGTACATAGAATATGAGGATTTAATTCTTGATGAATAAGATAGCAAGTGCTATTCAGTTTTTTAAAATTCATTTTAATTAAATGGTTTAAATCTTATTTTGATCATTTTATTTTAATAAATAGTTTTATCTTTTTACTTAAGAAAGTTTGTTTTTGGTCTTTAAAATTTATTATTTATCATTTTTTAATCCCTTCATTATCATTTATATATACAACACGTTAGATGATGGAACTCCCAAATTTTAAACCATTCAAAAAGCCCTTTTTTAGTTCCTCTACTTATGAAGTTTTGTCATCTCACCCATAATATGTGCAAAAAGATAACAGAATTATTTAAAATAGGTCCGATAATAAACTTTAGGGACCAAAACGGATTTTCTTAAGTATATAAATTGAAGAAGAGATTTTTGTTAAAATAAAAGGACTAATATGAGGTTTTAACTTAACTAAATAAATCCTCATATCAAGATTTTATAGCAAGTATTTAGAGTCTAATTTATCAAGAACGACAAACTCAAATTTTGTGAGATTTGCCATAATAACTACAAATTTTTTTAAGTAATTAGTATAACATATAAATTGGATAATTATGAAATATATTGAAGAAAATAGAAGGTAAAGATAAAATCTTAACTTAAAAGTCTTAACTTCATAATCTGATATAAACAATGTAAGAACCTAAAATTATTTAATCATTTAATTTAATTTTTTTTAAATATGAGTTTTTCCCACCCCACGTTAAGTGTATTTTTTTATCATAAATTTATATAAAAAATTATTTTTTTGTCAACAAAGTGAAAATTAATTATATGTAGAGTATAAAAAGTACTTCTACCCATATTTAAATAAAATATATAAGTTACATTAATACCAGCAGCACATACATTCCATAGTTTTCAAGCTTAACCAAAAAGCCAAGATTATAAGTTTGCAATCCTAAGTAGCAAGAAACAAGTAAAAGTATACAATATCATAAATAAATCCTAAATGAAAGAGTAGTGATGAAGAGGACAAAAATTTGAGACCAATGGCGTGACTTATGCTATGTCATTATATTAATTAATGCATATAAGATCACAGATTTTAAATAAACAAAAAAAGTTAATTATTAAATAATATAAGTTCCACCTTTTAATATTTTAAATGATATGGTTTATGCCACATCATTTGTCTTAAATTTTGGTCCCAAATATTGGTCTTATTTATCAGTATTCTAAATAAAAAAATAACTAATTATATAATAACATCATGTTATAAATTTACAATATTACATGGCATTATAACTATACTCCATTCTAAAATAATTATTATTATTTGACTTTGAATTTATCCAAAAAAAAAATGTCATTTTTTACTTTTTTAAGATAAATAAATATTTTTTTCTATTTTAACCCTATCATTATTTATTTCTTTTGATTAATTATCTTATTATAAAAAACTTTATTTTATTTTTTAACTTTTTTTAGAATAACATAGATAAATATATAAATTATTTCTAAATCTTTAATTTTTTTAAAAATAAAATAAAAAAGCAACAATTATTTTAAATCGGAAGACTATCATTTTCATTATCGCCGACTAGGTAGACCTGTGTTTGTATTTGCAACTTCCGAAATTCGATAAGAAATGACACAAATTAATCAAGTGTCAAAACCAATGACCTAAATAACTTAGTGGTTATCTCCTTCTACTAGAAAAAAGAGATCATGAGTTTGAGTCGTATGACACGCGAATGGGGTGGGATAAGAGATGGGAGATGGTTGCTATCCATTGTGCAACAAAAAAAAAAAAAAAAAAAAAAAAAAAAATCAAGTGCCAAAAATGACATATGTAATCTACATAAAAGGAAAGACAATTCAATTGAGCTAGCTTCCAAAACATGCATGTCTCCCGTTTGGCTTTCCTAGATTTAATAACCAAAATGCATTTGTCCACAACTGTTCTTAACCATTATCTTTCTTTCTAGTGTCAGCTACTTTCTTGCAACCTTTGTCTTGATGATAAAACAGGGGTTAAAGTAAATGAAATTTCTCTGAGACAAATAATCAAACACTTGGTGGGTAATAAAAATGGGGAATTGAATTGAAGATATTTATTCAACTGATTTGTGCCCATTTAAATAGAAAAAGTAGAGCAACATTGCACAATACAAGAACTTAAGGACTCCACAATCTAGAAACAAGAAACTAATCTTATCTCTAAAAACAAGGAACCATACTCCACTAAGTAAAGACTAAATAACAAACTTGGACTCTATCAATTAATAAACTAAATGCTGCAAATTATCTTGTAGACACGTAAACCACAAATTGACAACTAAGCAAAGACCCATTTCAGCATTATATCGTAACATGCTCCCCCTTAATGCTGAAATTTTAAAAACTCCAAGCAAATCCCTCAAGTGGATAAACTTATCCAAAGGAAGTGGCTTCGTGAAGATGTCAACGACTTGATCCTTTGAGTTGCAGTGAACAACTTCCAAGCTTCCACTTGCCACCAACTCCCTTATGAAATGATGCCGAGTCTTAATGTGACAAGTTTGACTCTGGAATATTGGATTTTTTGTCATCGCAATGGTCGATTGATTGTCACAAAATATTGTTGTTGGCTTCACTAGTAATTGCTTCATATCCTCTAGAATTCTTCTTGTCCATGTGACTTGACATGCTGCTACTGTTAAGGAAATGTATTCTACTTCTGAAGAGGATAAAGCTGTGAAAGCTTGCTTCTTTGAACTCCAAGAGATAACACTGGATCCCAAAAAGAAAGCATAACTTGGAGTACTGTGCCAATCATCAATATAACTTGCCCAATCACCGTCAAAGTATCCAAATAAATTAAATTGGTCAATTTTGGCATATGAAATGCCAAAAGAAATTGTCCCCTTCAAGCATCTTAAAATCCTCTTAGCTGCTCCATAATGTGTATTGCTTGGATTTTACATGAAATGAGATAGCACACTGATGGCAAAAGCAATATTAGGCCTACCATTTTTGAGATAAAGAAGACTCACAATAAGGTTGCGATAGGCATGAACATCAACCTTTTCTTCTCCATCATTCAAACTGAACTTTTGATTAGAAACCATTGGAGTTCCCACTGAGTTACAATCTTCCATTCTACACCTTTTAAGGAGATCTTTAGCATATTTCTTTGGGAAATAAAAATTCCCTCACCATTTTGAACCACTTCCAGCCCCAAAAAATATCTCATTAAACCCAAGTCAATCATGTCAAACTCATTAACCATCATTCTTCTAAATTCTTTCAACAAAAAAGAGCTATTTCTAGTGTATATTAAATCATCAACATAAAGACACAGTAACAGTACCTCATCTCCACCTCTGGTCTGAACATACAAAGTAGGCTCACTTGGACTTTTACGAAATCCATGGCTGCAAAAATGAGCATTAATTCTTTTGTACCAAGCCTGTGGTGCTTTCTTCAACTTGTACACTTTCTGCTCTTGTCCTTCAATTTCATAACCTTGAGATTGCTGTACATATACATCTTCCTCCAAGAATCCATTCAAGAAAGCTAACTTCACATCAAACTGAAAACACACCATTTATGTTGAGCAACTAAAGCTAAAACAGTTCGAATAATATCAAACTTGGCAATTGGTGCAAAAGTCTCATCAAAATCCACACCTTCTTGCTACATGTAACCTTTAGCAACCAACCAAGGATTGTGTTTATGAATTGACCCATCAGAATTGTACTTGGTCTTGTATACCCACTTTAGAGTTACAACTTTGTTGTCTTTAGGCAAGTCTACAAGCTCCCATGTTTGATTTCTTTCCAAGGCCTTCATTTTCTCATCCATAGCTTTGCATCATTTTCTCATCCATAGCTTTGCACCATTTTCTATTCTTCATTGCTTCCTCAAAACAGTTAGGCTCCTCAACATGTGCCATTTGACATCTTTGAGTTTGTTCATAGATTTCCACCAAGGATTTCACTCTCCTTGCCTTTCTTAGAGCTGGAGGTGTCTTAGGTGAGGATGGACACGATCTACTGCCACTGTTAGGTGTAAAGGAACATAGCTAAATCCTTTGACTCTTATATGGCAGCCATAATATGGTCATATTTCTTAGGCAGACTCCTAAGAATTTTTTCAACCACCTTTTGCTCGGGCACATCATCACCATATTTTCTCATTTGATTGATAGTTTCTATCATTTGGGTAAAGAAATCAGACAAGTTCTCACATTCTTTCATGACCATACCTTCGTACCTTCTACAAACTGTCTATAACTTCACTGTAAGCACCTTGGCATTGCCTTAGTACCCTCTCTGCAAGGCATCCCATGCATCTTTTGATTTTGTTGCTGCTAAGATGCATGGAAAGATAGCATCATCCACTCCCTACTAGATGAAAAGCAATGCCTTAGCATCCTTCTTCTTTGTATCCTTGAGTGCCTTTGTTGAAAGTGCAGCTTCTGTGTAAGCCCTCTCCCCCAAGTCCCATAAGTCTTGGGACATAAACAAAGTCTTCATTTTAGTACTCCAAATTTCATATCCACTTCACTTAAAGAGTGGAATGGTTGGCTGCGAAACACTTCCCAAAGTGTTGTTTGTGGCCATTTCTTTTGAAGGCAATTGAAGGAGGAAAGGCAATTGAAAAAGTAACAAGGCTCTGATACCAGATGATAAAAATAGGGGTAAAAGTAAATGAAATTTCTATGAGGCAAATAATCAAACACTTAGTGTGTAATAAAAATGGTGAACTAAATTGAAGATATTTATTTAGCTGATATGTGCCCATTTAAATAAAAAAAGTAAAGCAACAGATTGCACGATACAAGGACTCATGGACTCCATGATATGGAAACAAGAAACTAATCTTATCTCTAAAAACAAGGAATCATACTCCACTAAGTAAAGACTAAATAACAAACTTAAACTTTGTCAATTAATAAACTAATGCTGCAAATTATCTTGTAGACACGTAAATCACAAATTGACACCTAAAAAATTGACACCTAAGCAAAGACCCATATCAGCATTATATCCTAACAGTCTTCATCGTATGAATGTTTCCAACTTTTACAAATAATTTTGATTTCCAACCATTTATGTCTCTCTCTTTCTGTGTGGCTGCCACTGCCTTCAATAATCTATTCCATTCCTCCCTACTTTCATATAACAAGAGAAAATGAAAGAGAGGAAGAAAACCCAGAAAGCTCATGTCTTGATCCTCCCCTGCCCTCTACAGGGTCACATAAATCCTATGCTCGAGTTCGCCAAACGCCTCGTTGCTAAGGGCGTTAACACCACCCTAGTAAGCACCGTCTTCACCTCCAAATCTATGCACACCGATCCTACCAGCTCCATTGCTGTGGAAACCATTTCTGATGGCTTCGATGAAGGCGGCAGAACTCAGGCTGAGAGCGGTAAAGCTTACCTTGAATCTCTACGAGCAGTGGGATCTCGGACTTTATCAGATCTGATCAAGAAACTTGGTGATTCGGATCGGCCCGTCTATGCTGTTGTGTATGATGGGTTTATCCCTTGGGTACTGGATGTTGCAAGGCAGTGTGGGGTACTCGGGGTGGTGTTTTTCACACAGACTTGTGCTGTGAACAGCGTGTATTACCATGTAAACAGGGGACTTCTTCAGCTGCCAGTCTCAGGGCCGGCTGTTTCATTTCCTGGATTGCCTTTCCTGGAAGTTTCCGACACACCGTCGTTTGTATCACACTATGGATCCTACCCGGAGGTGTTTGACATGGTCATGAATCAATTCTCCAACTTCAACGAAGTGGACTGGATGCTTTTTAATACCTTTTACGAATTGGAGACTGAGGTAATTATGTATACATGGCCTATAACCTGTCTGATAATATTCCCAAACCATTAACCGTGAGTTCTGAAATTCTAGTTTTTCTTTTATTCACAGGTAGTGGATTAGTTGTCAAAACTATGGAAAGTCGGGACAATCGGACCAACAATTCCATCTATGTTCTTGGACAAAAGACTTGAAGGTGACAGAGCCTATGGCATCAATCTCTTCAAGCCAAACATAGCGGATTGCATGAATTGGTTGAATGGGAAGCCCAAGAACTCAGTTTATGTTTCATTTGATAGCGCCGCAGAATTGAAAGAGGAACAGATGGAAGAATTAGCTTGGGGTTTGAAGGGCAGTAATTGCTTCTTCTTATGGGTAGTGAGGGCATCAGAGGAGACCAAACTACCAAAAACTTTCACGAAGGAGATAGCAGAGAAGGGCTTCCTAGTGAGGTGGTGCTCACAATTGGAGGTGTTGGAGCATGAAGCAATAGGATCTTTTGTCACCCACTGCGGCTTTAATTCTGATCTTGAAGCTCTAAGTTTGGGAGTTCCAATGGTGGGAATACCTCAGTGGACAGACCAACCCACAAATGCAAAATATGCAGAAGATATATGGAGAACTGGAATTCGCGCTAAGCCGGACGTGCAAGGTGTTGTTAGGAAAGAGGTTATAGAGCGGTGCATGAAGGAATTGATTGAACGAGAGAAAGGGAAAGAGATGAAGAAGAATGCAAGCAAGTGGAAGAAATTCGCTAGAGAGGCAATGGATGAGGATGGAAGTTCAGATAAGAACATTGATAAATTTGTAACTAAATTAGCATCCACTTTTGACTAATAGTTTGATATGGGAATCCGAATCAGATACATTTTCTTGTAATTCCAAATTGTTTCTGAATAAAAATGAAGTAAAATTGACTAACACTAGTTTGCTTTTTCATGCCAGGAATACATTATCATTCGCTGAATTATTTTTTGGTTTAACTACCTTTCTGATCTCTCGACTTTGTGATTTTGTACTAAATTAGTCCTCCTTTTTTGTTTTTTTGTTTTTTTGTTTTTTTTTTTACCTTTCTGGTCCCTCAACTCGTCAATTTAGTACCAAATTGGTCCTCTGTCACGCTGAGTTGCTGATCATATTTGGGAGATTCATTGCTACTTATGCCTGGTGAGGCTGACGAAAATGGCCAAGCTACCGGCCAAGCTTGTGGAGGATTCAATGGAGAAGGGCTTGCAGGTGGGTTAGTGCCTACAAAATGGAGGTGCTAGGGCATGAGTAGATAGGATGCTTCTGGTACCCATTTGCAGCATTAATTTTGATCTTGAAGCTTTTAATCTGGAATTCCCCCAGTGACAATGCCTCAGTGATTGGACGGACCCACCAGAAAGGTACGCAGGAGATGTTTGGAGAACAGAATCCAAGCACGAGCTAGCTAGTAGGTATTATTAGGAGAGAAGTTTTAGAGCTGTGCATAAAGGAAACGACAGGACAGAAGGGAGAAGGGATTAAGAAGAATGCAAGTGGAGGAGTATGGCCAGAGAGACGATTGATAAAGGTAGGAAGTGCAGAGAGGAACATTGATGAATTTGTACTAAACTAATCAGCAATAAAAGACTGAGGTTTTTTTTTTTTTCATGTTTCAGTTGTTTAAATGTTTTGAGTTTTTCGTTTCTTCTCAACAAGACTGATTTAGAAAAAAAAAAAAAGTCCTTTACATTCAAAGATTGAGATGAGAAATGCATTCATCCTAAAGCAAAAAACCTAAAACTGATACAGAAACCTACAAACAATGTAGGACGTTCCAATCCTCAACAATGGAGACCATATATAAGCTAACAGTTAGCCACTCTATATGAAACGATCTCAATTAACCGATTCAACTATTTTGTCAAGGATTACAAATAAAACACAAATGCATATTTGAAAGAGTCAAATGAACATTTTAACCATTATTATTGAGGGAACAACATACCAGCACAAACAAGATCCATGTATTAACATGGCACAAGCGGTAACCAACATGTCAACCTGATTCAGATTTCAGACATCTACAAGTCTATGGTCATTCATGTGTTGAGTAGTTAGTAAGCTACTCAATTCAAGCCTGACTCATTTACTAAATAAAGCTTAAGTTCAAGTTCAAATTCAAGCTTTAGCTCATTCAGTTTATTGAGCTCAAGCTCGGTAACAGCTCATAAGAAGCTCGATAATTTATAAAAATAAATAAATTATATAATGTCATGTATAAACACACAGACACATACACTAGCCAAGCTAGGCTCAAGTACCCCAATAATCAACTTGTTTACAACTAGACAGCAATAATAATCAGACACATGCATCAACTAGAAGAAAGAAGGGGAGACAAAGAAAATGTCATAATTATAAGGTGATGCAGATACATGAAACAGCATTCACTTGATAAGAATCTATTCTTTTTGGACAGACAACAATTCAGGGATATAAATAGTTAAAAGGGCACAACACTAGCACCAGGCCTCCAGTTAAGTACCCTACCGTGAAATATAAGACGAATAACTAATTACAGATTTTGGGAAACTATGATGCCATCAGAGTGAATACGTAATATAGAAAAGTTGGACCAATAATTAAAGCACAAAAAATACATTTCATTTAAAACTTATTTGACACGCATGAAAATAAATAACTACACTTAAATTATGCCAACATACAATGATACACTAATGTGCTTTCTCATACCTTTTTCAATTCTTACTCCTCAACTTCTCGAGCAACAATAAGTTCCTCTAACTTATCAGCATCACCAGAATCTGCAGGCATCATAATTTCATCCTCAGCTGTAAAATTGCATTGTTCACCAATAGCTCTTAAAAGCTGGTATACTTCAAACATACTAGGCCTCTCCTTGTGAACTGCTGGCAACACACATCTACATGCAACTTTAAGAAATTGGAAAAGCTCATTATCAACATCCTTCCCAACCAAAGATTTGTCAATGGCATCTTCGAGTTTGCCATTGCCTGATAACTCTGCAATCCACTCTACCAGATTTCCCTTAAAGCTTTCAGGAGCTTTTGTCACATGGGTAGGTCTCTCACCAGTTACCAACTCAAGAAGTACGACTCCAAAGCTATAAACATCTTCCTTCGGAGTCCCGACTAGAGTTCTTGTATATTCAGGGGAAACATAACCCAAATCCCCAAACTCACCATTCACAAATGCGCTTAGATGTGTATCAATTGGGTTCATGAGCCTAGCAAGACCAAAATCAGATATTTTGGGCTCAAAATCTGCATCAAGCAAGATACACTTCGAGGTTATATTTCGATGAGGTATATGAGGATTGCTGCTGTGATGAAGCCATGCAAATCCTCTGGCAGCTCCTATAGCAATTTTAAGTCTCAAAGGCCACTCCATATCACTGCCACCGACACCCATGTGATGTAAGTGATCATGGAGCATACCTTTCTGCATGTATCTGTAAACTAAAAGCCTCTCCTTCTTAGCCACACAGAAACCTAAAAGGGGTACCAAGTTACTGTGTCTCACACTTCCCAAAGTAGCCATTTCAGATGAGAATTCTTTATTAGAGCGTTGTGAATTCTGCAATCTCTTAATCATAAGGAAAGTGCCATCTTCAAGCACTCCTTTGTACATTGTCCCTGTTCTTCCTGACCCAATGATATTATTTTTACTGAAACTGTTAGTGGCCTTCATGAGATCCCTTAATCTCAATTTAGAAACTGACTTCTCAAAGCAGGAAACCTAGATATTCCACTAACTTATCAGTATGTCAAAGACAATAAACACATAATTAAAGAAACCGAAACTAATCATGGTTAATCATAAAGAAGTTAAGTGCCTTTCTACATTCTAAGAAATATTATTAAATTACCTTAATGCCCTCGACTCCCTTCAAGCTCTCTGCCCACTTATTTCCTTCTGGGTCATCATCCTTCTTCCTCTTAACAGACATTCTACGGTGATAAAAGTACAGACCAATAACCACGCGTATTGCTGCAACTGTTGCCCCTCCAGCTACCACCCCAGCAATGACAGTGTGAGTGTTCGTTGCAGATGACTTGCAAGGGTCCAAAGGCTTTCCACAGAGTCCTGGATTATTTGCAAAACTATCTGCCGGAATTGGAATCTGGAAAAGTGGGATTGGTCCTGTTAGCAGGTTATCAGCTACCGTAAAAGTTTTAAGTCGGGACAGCAGACCAAGCTCTGGAGGGATCTGACCCGTTAACCGATTATGGTCAAGGTTAAGGACATTCAAGTAGGTAACATTTGATAGGTTCTCTGGGATCTCACCAGAGAAATTGTTTGATGAGAACTTAAGGGTAGTTGCAAACGGGATTATTTTGGAAATATCAACTGGAATTGGCCCAAAGAGCTCATTGTTTGAGAGATCTAAGCCAGTCAAACTTGAACAATTCTGGATTCCTCGAGGAAACTTACCTTTGAGCCCCATATCTGAAAGCTGGATGTTCAAAACCTTATTCTCATCTGGGTGCCAGCATTCAATGCCGGTAAATCTACAAATGAACCCATCAGTATTGTTGTTGAAGTTCCATGTAGCATTCAAATAACCAAAAGGGTCCTCTACAGAACTTTTTAAGCTCTTCAAACAATCAATATCACCCTGAAGACCATAGCTCAAACTACAGCTAATCAACAGCCAAAGCAAAACACTAATAACAGTTGAAACGGCCTTGCTATGAACCACCATCAAGAAATCCATCAAAATCCACAATAGAGAATGGATCAAAAACCAGTTAGGTTACTTAACAGAGCTTAAAGCACCAAATCCACTAAGTCATAGTCCTCGTATCATTAAACCCTGAAATAAATTAAGAAAAAACTCAAAAAGGAAGTTCAAGTTCCTTAATTTCCTTCAAAATAGAAAACCCTTAAGATGAAAAAATAAATAAATAAATAAAAGCACACACACACACAAAAGGCAACAATTCAGCACACAAACCTGCAAATTCACACTACAAAACAAATATTAACACAAAGACATTTCTAATTCTAAGAAAACCAGTTGACTCAGTACCGATCAACAAGAGCACACATATATCAATGAAACCCAGATAAAAGAAACAAAAAATTTGAAAGCTAATTCAAAGACCCACCTGAAATTCCAGCAGTTTCAACTGATGAGGATTGAAGAACCCACAGAAATGGACTTCAAAATAACAAGGACTTTTTCCATGGATTAATCGAAACCCCAGTAGTCCACAGAGATAAAGCAAAGTCTAGAGCATGATTTGAATATTTACACCCTGTTTGCATGGGAGAAGTTGGAGGGAAAGGGAAGAAAGGGAAGAAGAGCGAGGACAGAGTGCACGTTTTGGTTTTTTAAATTAGTAATTTTAATAAAGGTGTGTATAACTGTACTTTAAGGGCATAATATTAAAAATATAATTATTATATTTTTTTATATTTATTATTACTAAAAATATAAAAATTATTATTGATTCTATCAATAGTATCATGTAAATTATTTTAATTAAATAATTATTTAAATAAAAATTAATTTTTTATTTTTTAATAATAATTAATGAAAAAAATGTATAATAATTGCATAGGTTAAAAAAATACTTTTAATAAATAAAGGGAAGGGAAATGGAGAGAGATTTAGACTCCTCTCTTTTTTTGTTTTTAATCTCTTAATTAATTAAGATGAATTATATTATTTGATTTATTTTTTATTTATTTTAAATAAATATATATTATATTTTAATTATTTATTTAATTAAAATTTTTTAAAAATTTTACTATTTTATTTT